TTTGAGACAGGGTTTCTCTGTAGCTTTGGAGCCTATCCTGGAACTAGCTCTGTAGACCAGGCTGGCCTCGAACTCACAGAGATCTACCTGCTTCTGCCTCCCGAGTGCTGGGATTAAAGGTGTGCATACAATGTATTTTAATTTATTCGTTCCCCTTTACCCACTCCTCCCCCCCACCACCAAAAATGTGGAAACTAATTTGTGTTGGCCGGCTGCTCTGGAGCATGAGGCCTGCCTTTAAGAGAGGTGATACAGACGATGTCACACCGTGCTACCTCTCCAGCAGCCACTGAGTGCAAGGAGCTTCTTGGCTGTGGGAGGGACTTTGTCCCCACTTCCCCTTCTCCATTATGTGATTTTGGGGTTTAGACTCTTCTCCATGATTCCTAGGCATCTGCTCCTTGTGAGTGCCACACGCTAAGGGGCCACCAGAGTGTCATCTGCTCCTTGTGAGTGCCACACACTAAGGGGCCACCAGAGTGTCATCTGCTCCTTGTGAGTGCCACACACTAAGGGGCCACCAGAGAGTAACTCATCTGTTCTGTTGGTGCAGACAGAACCCTTGGTGTTAGGTCTTTGGTGTTAGTGAGAAGAGTGTTCAGCGTGCATGAGTTGTTTTTGGAAAGCTCTTGTCTTTACCTTGCAGACAGTTACCATCTACATACAGTTTTTAATTTATTCATCTTATTATCGCTGCAGCCTTAATTTTTTTCCCCATTGAAGCTTATACATTTTAGTTTTCTCTCTATTTCTGCGTATTTCAGGATTTTGTTGCTGCTGTGGATATGACTCTTCTGCCACTTCCCCCTCACACTGCGTCTCCCTGGGTGTGCGCCTGCTTCTGCCTTTAGATCTTCTAGAATTATATCAGAGGTCAGGCCACAAGGAGGGAGGGGAGAGCCCTACTGATTAGGAAAAGGGAAGGGTCTCACACAGGCAAGGTGAGCTGTGTAGTGGGAAGGGAACAGGCAGAGGCTTGTGGTGAGGTCCAGGGGCTGGGAATGATCCTGTTTCTTGGGAGCTGGGAACAGGCAGATTGAGTTGGATCACCTTCTCTGCAAGACTGAACTGTGATCCAAGATAACTACTACACCCAGGACTAAATTTTCACATTACACCTGGTATGCATAAAAAACAAAACAAAACAAAACAAAAAACCAGCAACAACAAAAAAACCTTTACCACGAGGATTCCTTTTATTCTCTTGCTGTGATAAAACTCTGACTAAGAGCAACCGAGGGAAGAAAAGATTTTATTTAGCGTCCAAAAAAATAGTCTGCCATTGAAGGAAGTCATGGAAAGAGCCTGGGTAGGCATGTGCAGCAGAAACCATGGACAGATGCTGATTGATGGCTTCCTCTCAGGCTCACGCTCAGCTACTTTTCTTTTCTTTTTTTCTTTGGTTTTTCGAGACAGGCTTTCTCTGTGGTTTTGGAGCCTGGAGCCTGTTCTGGAACTAGCTCTTGTAGATCAGGCTGGTCTTAAACTTACAGAGATCGGCATACAGCCCAGGACCACCTGCCTAGGGAATGGTGCTGCCCACAGTGGGTCCCCCCCCTCCAGCAATGAGCAATCAACACAGTCTCCCACAGACATGCCACAGGCAATCTGATCCAAGCAGTCTGTAAGTTGAGACTCCCTTCCTGGGGCCTCTGGGCTGTATCAAGTTGGCAGTTAAAGCTAACGAGGATACTAGATAACTGCAAACTGTTTCCAGAAACATGCAATGTTTTAAATCAAATATGGGGCTCTAGCAAATACTTAACACACACTAGGCCAGTATCATGTGGTTACTCTTCTTAGCCAACACATTGACATGAGACATCAATATAACAAAAATATTTTATACATTTGGAAATTTGACAACAGATTAAAAAAATCATTGATAAGCTTATGTAAGAACAAAGTCTACGACATTAAACTAAAAAGTAATAATGCCCAACTGTAGTGTATAAATTTGAAAGGTAAGGCATTGTCTTCTTTCTCTTTACTGTGTATTTTTTAATGTTTTTTAATTGCTTCTTATGTGTACAGGTGCTTTGCCTGCATGCATGTCTGTTTGCATGTGTGTGCCTGGTCCTGTAGAAACCAGAAGAAAGCAGCAAATCTGGAACTGGAGTTGCAGAGAGCTGTGAGCTGCCATGGGTGCTGGGAATTGAACCTGGGTCCTCTAGAAGAGCAGCCAGTGCTCCTAAGTGGAGAGCCATCCCTCCAGCCTCGAGGGAAAAGGGTTTAGATGTTTATGGTGGCCCACTAGGAAGTGAGAATCTCAGAGTCCATTATTTTCATTCATCCACGTTTTCTCGGTTCCAATATGGATTTTTTGATGTTCTTTTATTTTCATTGGTATGTGATTACTGTGCAAAACTTTGGTGTGCTCCTGTACAGCCTTTGCCTTACATATTACAGGTGTGCACCACCATGCCTGGATGAAAACCCTTTTTTCAGACAGACATGCAGGGCAGCCTCTGAAAGTCAGTTCTCTGGACTGTGGTTTCTGGGGATCGAACACAAGGTCATCAGACTTGCCTGCCAAGCCACCTTACCTGCACAACTACTGTTTTTGTTTGTTTTGTTTTATATTTCAAGACAGGTTCTCTGTTGTTATCTTCACTTTTTTGGCTTTTTTACTCTTTGGGGGCCCTCCACACAGCTTCCAAATAAACATACATGGAAGCTTATTCTTAGTTATGAATGCCTGGCCTTAGTTAGGTTGGCCTGTTTCTTGCTAGCTTTTCTTAAATTATTCCTGGCTACCTTTTGCCTCTGGGCTTTCTCCTTTTCTTACTTCTGTATATCTTACTTTCACTCTTACTGTTTCTGGCTGAGTGGCCCCTGACGTCCTCCTCTCCTTGCTTTCTTGCTCCTTTTTTTCCTCGTTTCTCCTTCTATTTAACCTCTCTGCCTGCCAGCCCTGCCTATCCTTTCTCCTGCCTCGATATTGGCCAGTCATCTCTTTATTAGACCATCAGGTGTTTTAGACAGGCGTGGTAACACAGCCTCACACAGTTAAACAAATGCAGCATAAACAAAAGCAACAAGTCCTTACATCCTTGAACAAGTGTTCCCCAGCATAAACAAGGCACACACCTTAAAATAATGTTCTACAACAGGCCTTGAACTTCCTATTTAGTCAAGGATGACCTTGAACTCTTGATTCTTCGTTCTTCACCTCTGGAGGTGTGTGTGTGTGTGTGTGTGTGTGTGTGTGAGAGAGAGAGAGAGAGAGAGAGAGAGAGAGAGAGAGAGAGAGAGAGAGAGAGAGAGCGAGCTCTAGAACGCACTGAGAGCTGTGATTTTCACCACCCGTGCACCTTTGTCAACTCTTGATGAAGTCATCTGAGCTCCCATGTGCTGTGTTAGCACTATTAATGTTTGTGTCTCTGTGCTATTAGCACTATTAGCATTTGTGTCTTGGTACTGTGTCTGTCTCCTTCCTTCAAGGAAGGGTTTCAGCCCTGCGAATTCCACATGTAGCCCTGCTCTGCTTCCTCACACCGCAGGTCAGTTTCACTTATTTGGGGACCTCATTTAAAGAGACAGCTGGCATTTTCTTTGTATGTCTGGTTTCTTTTGCTCAGCACTTTGCTTTGAGAGTCAAGTTTGCTGACCTAGATAGATAGATAGTTTTGTTTTTTTGAGACAGGGTCTCTCTATGGAGCTCTGGCTGTCCTGGAGCTCACTCTGTAGACCAGGCTGGCCTTGAACTCACAGAGATCCACCTGCCTCCTCCTCCTGAGTGTTGGGATTAAAGGGGTATACCACCACTGCCCAGCAGGATAGTCTTTCATTGTTGTATTTGTTAATTGTATGAAGGACTGAAGAGATGACTCAGTTGGTATAGTGTTTGCTTTACAAGCATGAAGATCTGAGTTCAGTCCCCAGAACATAGATTTAAAAAACCATGGTATGGTGGGGCTTGCTTGTCACTCCAGTGCTGGGGGGGGGGCGGGGGGACAGAGGCAGGCGGATCCCTGGGGCTCACTGGCAGCCTGTCTAGCCTGCTTCATGAGTTCCAGACTAGAAAGAAACTCTGTTCCAAAAATAAGATAGTAAATTAATTAAAATAGAAAGTAAAGAATGGCTCTTGAGGACCAATACCTGATGTCTCTAGTCCTCCACATGCTTGTGCACAAGTACCCACATACACGTGTACATCACCACGATGTGCACACACACACATCAACATGCACACACACACAAACATTGATTATGATTTTAACCCTATGATTAATGTTTTAACAACAAACCCATTTTGCTTGTTGGAGGAGAGACTTTTTGTAAATCTAGACTCTGGTCCCCAGGATCCACATACAGGCTGGGTGAGCAGGTTTGGCAGCCTGCCTCTAGTTCCAGCACCAGGAGGTAGAGACAGGAGAACCCTGGAGCAAACTAGCTAGGTGACTTAGTGTAACCAGTAGGCCCTGGGTTTAGTGAGAGACCTGCCTTAATATATAAGGTGGAGTCAGATTGAGGACACCTGATGTTAACTTCTGACTTCCACATGCGTGTGCTCATGAATGCACATGTGCCTGCACACACACAGTATGGCCAAACACACGTGTGAAACAGCTTATGTACATGTTGGCCCTCTTCTGGCCTCTGACGGCACTACATGCTTACGTTCACACATTACACACACACCTTCACCTGAGTTCTGCATATTCGTTCCACAAAGCAGTGTCCAGCGTGGACTTGAAGCAAAAGCGCCCTCCCTGATCGGCTGTTTTGTGTCTCCCCCTTTCCCCACATCGATGGTTTCCAGTGAGATGAGTCAGAAAATGGCCAAGGAGGGCCCCAGGCTCTCCAAGAATCAGAAGTTCTCCGAGCACTTCAGCATCCACTGTTGCCCACCCTTCACCTTCCTCAACTCCAAGCGCGAGATCGTGGACCGCAAGTACAGCATCTGCAAGAGCGGCTGCTTCTACCAGAAGAAGGAGGAGGATTGGATCTGCTGTGCTTGTCAGAAGAGCAGGTGAGCGTGGGCTCTGGGCCAGGTCTGCGCCACATTCCCCTGCTCCGTGACTGTCAGCTCTCTTAGGAAGGCGCTGGAGGGCAAGCAGAAGGTGGGCGGGAGGGCAGGGCTTTCCTGCTGTTTCTAGCTCCTGCCAGCATCCCTTAAGCAAGGTGCAGAGCCCGGGCCAGCCGCAGCCTCCAGCTTCTTTTGGCCCTCTCTGCACCAGCCGCCGTGCCAGGTCCCCTCAGAAGCCCAAGCTCCAGCCAGCTGCGTCCCCCGTGGTGGTCAGAGCGCCGCCAGCCAAGCCAAAGTCCCCTCCGAGGCCAGCCAAGCCAAGGTCCCCTTCGAGGACTGAGCGCCAGCCGCGACCCCGCCCAGAGGTCCGACCACCACCAGTCAAGCAGAAGCCCCCTCAGAAGTCCAAGCCACCAGCACGCAGCAGCCCCCTCAGAGGGCCAGGCACCAGCCGTGGGGGGTCTCCCACCAGAGCTCCTAGGTTCTGGTAACACCATCTCTTGCCTTTTGTCTCCCCCCCTAGCCTGAGGTCAGTAGCTGCTCTCTGCGCGTACTAACCTGGGGGACCTCTCCGCAGTACCAAGCCTGTGTAATCCACTCCCTCCATTAAACCCCCTCTTGTTTGAAACACCTGGCGTGGCTTCTGTTTTTCCTCCCAGATGTTCTCGGTCCTCACTTCAGATGGCTGTGTCTGTGCCATCCCGCAGGACTGCAGGTCACTAATTTACCAGCGCGTAGTATTTGTTGACCACAGTGGCAGGCGGGGAATACGGAGTAGAGCCACGCTGCCGCTTTGTGCCTCAGAGAGGAGGAGAGGAGACTCTGTACTTGGGCATGTGTGGAAGGAGCGAGCCCAGTGCTCCGTTTGCTCACCCTCCTGACACACGTCATCATATATTAGCCCCCGAGGCAATGTTACTCCTTTGTTTGCTCAGTCTGTCACTCAGCAAACCGTACTGGCATCTATAAGGTTTGATATGCTGTACTGGGGAGAGGAATATAACCTGTGATTTCTTTGTATCAAGGAAGAGACCATCTGGTCACGGTGCAAACATTGCAATACTGCCTTACTCAGGAGGTCTGTGGCCTGTGGGAGCTCCAAACAGAGCCGTCCCAGCTCTGCCATGGGAGCCAGAGGCTTCACAGAAAGTTAGGTTGGAGTGGGCAAACTGGAGAAGGACGGCCAGGGAGGCTCTGTCCTGCTCTACCTCAGAAGGACCCGTTTCTTCTTTTTGAGACGTGGTCTCACACCATAGTTCAGGCTAGCCTGGAGCTTACGCTGTAAACTCATTAAGATCCTCCTGTTTTAGATCCAAGAATGCATGGACGCCATGTTTGGTGTTGACAAACCCTCCTCTTCCTCCTTTTCTCTTCTTCTCTACAGACTTTATTTATTTTTTTTTGGTACAGTTTTAGGTCTACCACAAAACATAAGGAAGACAAAAACTTCGTTATTGCCTGGCAACAACATTTTAATATTTGGAAATAGATTTTCTTGTTGAGTCAGTGGTGAGCACCAGCTGTGCCTACTTCCTCTCTGCTCAGCTCCTGTGCAGCCTTCTAGAACCCTCCTGAGAGCCCATTCACAGGTCACCAGTGTAGTTTGGGGGTGTCTTCCTTTTCAGACACAGTAAACAAGCCTTACTTAGATATTCCTAAATAAAGGACCCTCATCATCTTTGGCAGCTGCCAGGATTGTGATGTCCCCAAATGAAAGCATTGGCAAGATGCAAGGTCAAGAGTTTCACCTAGCAAAGGGACTAGCTGGCTACGGCTCACTAAAAGCTTAGCGGAGAAGTGAATCCAGGTCGACTGGTCATAAAATCCCTCTGAGAGGCTGCAGTGAGAGGTTGGTTCAGCCAGCTAACTTCTGATACATAGAAGGGGCTGGAAAATCTAGAGCTGAGGCTGTGAGTTTATACAGGAGAGGCGGCCTTTTATGGAAAGTCAGTCCGTGACATTTTAGGTCATTGGAGTTCAAGCTGGAAAGAAAAGGACACAGAAGACAATGAGGGTAAATTCCACCTCAGACACAGGTTTGTTTGGACCCAGCCTCACTCACTATGGTCATCAGGCTCAGAGACATCAGCCAAGGTGTCTCCACAGGCTGTGTGTGTGTCCTACCTCCCTGGGAATCAGGACCAGCTTCTTACCGTCCATGGCTCTCATGCACCCTCTGAGCCCCGCCCAAGATACTCGTTTTCCCTTCTCTGAATCTCAGAGGTCCTAAGGCAGCGCAGTAGAACGGGTATTCCACCACTGCATTGTTTCTTTTATTGTTCTGATTGGCTATCTCAAATCAGAGGCCTTAATTAATGGGAACAACTTACACTAGATCAGGGCAGCAAGGCCAGACCTTTAAAAAAGGCTTAAAAGGAGATTTTCTGAAGCTGACACGCTTTCAGAGATGATGCTGATCCTGAGGTATTGTGTGGAGAGGTCAAACAATTTGGACAAAGACCTTTTTGGATCTGTGATAAGACTTTTGAATAGCTCTTCTCCAGAAAGCAGAGAATAATCTGATTTTAGAAATGAGTGGCTTGGTTTCCGGCATCGCAGTGGAAGGTAGGAGCATCTCTTTCTCGATGGGCGGTGGTCTCGGCACATCCCTCCAGTTTATTCTTTTCTACGTCTTTAAGATTTGGGACTTAATCTGAAGGTCCCAAGATTACAGAGCCGCCACTGTAAGACACTATTACTCTATGAGATTAGGTCCACAGCCCAGGGAAACCAGGCCACACAATAAAAAGTATCTTTTTATACTTTCAGTTTCCTCTGTCCATTAATAACAGTAAAAAATAAGATAATTTATTTTTGTACCTTGATTTATGTACTGTGATTTCACTTATTTTAGCTTTTTCTAGTAGAGCCTGGATTTTATACATCATAATCATGTCTTTCAGTAGAGACAGCTGTGCACTTTCTATTTCAATCTGGATACTTAAGGGTATATGTTTTGAACTGCTATCTATGCTGAAAACGTATTTTGAAATATGGTTTAGTGTCTTCAAGGTTTATTGTCAAGCTAGAGAATGGCCCCAGACGTGCTTTGGGATACTAGCAGACATCCTAATCCCTGATAGACTCTCTGTGGCAGTGATTGTTGGTCCTTAGATACTGACATCGTCAATTGTTGGTCCTTAGATACTGGCATCATCTGTTGTTCCTTAGATACTGACATCATCAATTGTCAGTCCTTAGATACTGACGTCACCAATTGTCAGTCCTTAGACACTGACATGACCCTGGTGTTCAGGGAGAGACATACACTAGAGTGCTTGGACTCAGGTTATGTGATGAATTCGACTCTGACAAGCCTGTCTGTTCTTGGAGGAGCCCATTGCCCTGCTAAATGGAAAATCTTTTTGACTTAAAACTTTCATAGCTACACCAGAGTAAAATGAGGGCATTTTACATGAGGATTGACTCTCATGGGCCACCATCCTCTAATCTTCCTCTTTTGCTTGATTGGTAAAGATGATCGTCGGGCATCTGCAGCAGAGCATCCCTCTCTTGCATCTAGGGAGTTGCTGTTATCATCAGTGGTAAGGAGCCCCGGCAGAGCCGTTGGTCTCACGACCGCTCACACTTCCTGCTGAGCAGATGTCTGTCCTGTGCTGGGCCTTCTTGACACATTTACCCTTGTGCATGGGTTTGTTTACCTGTGTCCCCTTGCAGGATTGTGTGTTAATCTGGTTCAGGCAATCTTACACTCATCCCTCCAGAGCCCAACTCAGGATTTGGCTGATGTTAGTGACTCAGACCAAATGCGGCCTCACAGTCTGCCACCTTCAGCATCAGGCTTGAGTTTAAGTTTTTAGATAACCTGTGACCAGGACTTGGCTGGGCCTACATTATTTGTAATCAATTTATTAAATGTTGCTATCAAACTAGGGACATGTCAACCTGGTCAGAATTTTATAACAGAGTTCACATACTCTACACATATGTGAGCATGTTTATGTTTACGGCTGTGGTTTCTGTCACTGCTTTCATTGCTGTGACAAGGTATCTGGGGAAGTGGCATTAGGAAGGCTCGTTTTGACTCACAGTTTGAAGGGACACAGTCCATCCTGTGTCACAGTATGGTGGCAAGAGTGTGAGGTGGCTGGTCACACGGCGTCCACAGTCAGGAAGCAGAGAGAGATGAACGCTGGTTCTCAGCTCACATTCTCCTTCTTATTTGTCCCAGGGACCCAGCCCATGAGCTGGTGCCCCCCACACTCAGGCTGAGTCTTCTCCTTTAAAGCTTTCTGGGGACACCCCCATAGACATGGAGGTGTGTTTCCTTGGTGACTCAAATCCAGGCAAGTTGACAGTGAAGATCAACCATCATGAGTAGTAAAATGCTTTTTGTTTCTGATCTAGGAGTGGAGTGTACTGTCACTGCCTTCCATGTTGCAAAACTTCTTATGACAAATAACCGGAAAACCAAAAAATCATTATGCATAGAAACAGGAGGATGTTAAAAAACTATTCACTTTCCTAGGCTCAATCCAGAAAAAAAATCGTGTCTGTTTTAGCCAGAGACGACAAGAGTTGAGAAACCAAGAATGGGTTCTAAAGTTGATTTCTGAGGAGAAAAATAGCACCAGAGCCCAGTGGTTAAAAGTCCCTCCTACTCTTGTAGGCCCTGAGTTCAGTCTGCAGCATCCCACGTGGTGGCTCAAAATTGTAACTTCAGTTCCGGTGTCCCTTTTAGCATCTGTGGAAACTGCATGCACATGGTGCTCCCATGCGTGTGTGCATGCGTGCGCGCTCTCTCTTCCACCCACACACAATAAAAATAAATACATCATTGAGAAAGGTCCATGAAGTCACAATTGTATTAAATAGTGCACAGGAAGTGGACACCACTTGCCAGTTCATGAAATTTCCTTTTTCTCTTTGTTAATCAGATTGAAAAGGAGGAGCAGGTCAACCCCAAGAAAAAAGTGACCGAGAAGGGATTTCCTGTGAATGGACGGCCTCCGCCTGTGGACTTACTACTTCGCAAGCCATCTGCCCTCAGACAAACTATCTGGTCTCAAGGATGAAGCAGGGTCAGACGCCTGCTGATGTGACAGCTACAGATGCCCTCAGTCCTCACGGTGTGGGAGCCTCAGGGCAGCCTGCCTGGAGGTGAGGGGCGCCCTTTGTACCATAGTCGCTGAGACCTGAGAGGACCCTTGGGCTCCAGAGCTCAGGAGGGGGGTCTTTTGGTCTCATCCGCAGCCCTTTGCTCTCTGGCAGGTGCGCGACGCCTCCAGGGTCATTGGCAAAGGTCTGCAGAGCTAATCCACACATACTCCTCCGTCTCTTTATTCCGCTGTATTTCTGTATCCTTCAACCTTTCCCTTCCTAACTCTCTGTCCGGCTCCTCCTGTTCCTATGCCATGTGCTTTCTGTTGAACGTCCTTACTCAGGGCCAGAGCCAGAGTGCATGCTGGTGAAGGTCCGGGTGATTTTCAGATAAGGTACAAATTGTCATATGATCCTTAAGTGCTAAGATGTCCCTAGAGTCATGTTAAAGTCGGATGTAGCTAACCTGTATCAGAAACAGAGGAAAGCAGCAACTGTGCCTCCCTCTGCAGGCCCCTGTCTCCATCCTCACACAGGGCACGGTGAGCATCAACTCCTGCCCAGGTCTGGGTGAGAACAACTTCTCTGTCACCTGTACAGTTAGCAGTCACTTGGATACCACCTGCATGGTTCTGTCGCCTGTACAGTTAGCCATCACCTGGGCTCTGTCACCTGTAGAGTTAGCACTCACCTGGATAGTTCTGTGTCACCTGCATGGCTCTGTCACCAACACAGCTCCAATTGCTTTCAGATTAGAAAACTTAGAAAGGTCTTACGGCTTCAGCCCTGTTGTCCCATCCTCTACCCTCCCATGAGGGACCCTGAGCCCAGGTAGATGTCTCTAGGCCATTACATAGGTCTAGAAAGATTGCTCGGAGTTTTGTTTTCTAATCCAAATTCTCCAAACTCCTGGGGGGAGAGGAGGCCTGGCACCTCAGGTTTTCCCTGGCTGGCCCTCCACATCTAAGTCTGTGGTAAAAACAGATTAAGAAGAATGGGGATGGAACTTGGCCTTATGCAAAGGAGAGTAAAGAGTGTGTTGGGGAGTAGAGAGCAAGAAATCCAAGACTTCTTCCCTGAGTTCAAGGCCGTTCCCGCATAAGGGGATCTGGGCCCAACTATATAGGGTGAGTAGGGTTGGGGGTTCATTTCCATCTTTTTGCTCTGGTCTGTCCCCAGGATCTGTAGCCTCAGATTTCTGGGAAAAAATGATCCTGAGTATGCACTCTTATTCTGGACCCCAGAAACCCACCCTCACCCCACCCCTCTTGCGTGTACCTCACGTCTACACTTGCTGTGAGGACGGAGACTGGGCCAGATGGAAGCGCCTCAGATTGCCTTGGACTCTTGTGGACACGTGTGTATGTGTGCATGTGTGCCCGTGTGTGTTGGGATTAACTTTGGGAGACTATTGGCCAGTTTTCAGGCCCAGCAAGACCTCATGGTTTCTTCTTTCTGTTCTCTCTTGTGTACACACGAACAAATGTGGCCATCTATCCTCGGTGCCCGTCCTGGGGCTGCAAGCTTCCTGCTCAGACCCTGTTGTGCTCTGGTCCATGGCTCGTGTGCAGGTGCCCTCAGCTCAAATATCATCTCAGAGATTCTCCCATGTCACCCCGCTCTGTCTCTCTAGGTTTTGTTTGCGTCTTCTGGAATCATCCTGTTCACTTACTTATTGTTGAGTTCTTGCGTCAATGCCTTGCCTAATGTAAACCCCGTGTCTGCCAGAATTGATTTATACCGTCTTCAGTTGTCTGGGACTAATATGGATTCAATAAATACTTGTTGACTGGAAGAATGTTTATTTGTTTTTAAAAATAGCCTTAAAGTAATGTTCGAAAGTATGATTCTTTTGAGGAATCAGAGGCATCTATTGTAGTCCATAAAGAATTGCTGGTGACCTTGGCAGGCCCCCCTCTGTGTAAAGGAATTGGGAAAGAGGAGCAGGAATTCACGAGTGTAAATGCAGCACCCTCAGTTCGGCCTTGAATGATGTTGAGGGCAGACAGGGTTTGGGTTGGTAACTCGGGAGCTGTTAGACCACCCTGAAATGCTCTTGAGGGGCTATGATGGCACACACTTTTAATCCCAGCACTTGGGAGGCAGAGGCAGGTGGATCTCTGTGAGTTCGAGACCAGCCTGGTCTACAGAGTGAGTTCCAGAACAGCTAGGGCTACACAGAGAAACCCTGTCTCAAAAAACCATAACCCTTCCTGCCCGCCCCCATGCTCCGGGGAAGGAGGCTGTAGTGTATGTGATGAAGAGGCACAGGGCCATTACCTGATGGAACCCAGGAGGGAGCTTGGGGACACCAGTGAGAGAAATACCCATCAATCAAGGGGCCCTTTGATTGGAAAGGGGGAAAAAGAGAAGAGAATTGTAGATTACAGCTAGTTCTCGAGGTCAGTGGTGGGGTGTGGGTGGCCCTTGCCTGAAGCATCAGTTTCCTGTGTACCTTATGTAGGACCCAAGGCAGCCAGTTCACACTGGGGTGGTGGGGAGGTGGTGGGACAGGAGGAATGAAGGCAGAAGGGAGGAGTATAGAGATGTCACTCCAAATCACCTCTACAAAGCTTATCCTAATCTCTCCCCTCACTTTTGAATGAATTTGTATTTTCTCTCCCCCCTCTTTTTTTTTTAAATATTTATTTATTTATTTATTGTGTATACTGTATTCTGCCTGCATATATGCCTGCAGGCCAGAAGAGGGCACCAGATCTCATTACAGATGGTTGTGAGCCACCATGTGGTTGCTGGGAATTGAACTCAGGACCTCTAGAAGAGCAGTCAGTGCTCTTAACCACTGAGCCATCTCTCCAGCCCCCCCCCCCCGTTTTTGAGACAGGATTTCTCTGTGTAGTTTTGGAGCCTGTCCTGGAACTCACTCTATAGACCAGGCTGGTCTTGAACTGGGATTAAAGATGTATTCCACTACCGCCCGCCCCAGGGCAGGAATCTTAGATAACTAAAAATAAAATCAGACTTGTTTGTACGATTTTATTCATAAATATATAATTTACTTGTTTCAAGATGTCAGTCCCCTATTTAAAGTCTTGTAGGGGTGAAAGAATTTCTGTTTTTCACTCAGTTTACAGGAGCCCATCCACCTTGGAATCCAGAGACCTAACACTGTTACACTGTATCTAACACTAACCTAACACTGTTACACTGTATCTAAAAGACAGAAACAGAAGTACCGGCCCTCAAGTTCATAGCCAGTCTACTCATTACCACGTCATGGTCAATGGGGCTTGTACTGGCCGATGAAACAATAATGTAAATGTACCGATAACTGTCAACTTGACATGACAGAGTCTCAGTGAGGGATTGTCTAGATCAGGCTGAGTTGTGAGCATGTCTGGGGGTATTCCTTGGCATGACAGTCTCACTAAGGGGTTGTCTATGTCAGGTTGGACTGTGAGCATGTCTTGGTGGGTATTCCTTGGCATGACAGTCTCAGAGAGAGGTTGTCTAGATCAGGTTGGGCTGTGAGCATGTCTGGGGGGAGGTTGCCTTAATTTCATTAATTGGTGAGGGAAGACCCAGCCTATAAATGGCTGGCCCTATTCCTGGATTTGGGGCTCTGGATGCTATCAGAGGGGGTTGGAGAGATGGTTCAGTGGTTAAGAGCACTGCCTGCTATCCCAAAGATCCTGAGTTCAATTCCCAGCAACGATATGGTGGCTCACAACCACCTGTAATGAGATCTGGTGCCCTGTTGAGGAAGAGACCTGGTCAGTTGTCCTCATCAACTTAGACCATGAACTTGTCCAATATGGACAAGATCAACAGAACCGCCATATATGGGCTGCCCATGCATGCTAATAAAATAATGCTATCAGAGTGGAGAAAGCTGGCTGAGAAGAAACATGCTGAGTTCATTTCTCTCTGCTCCTCCTGACTTGGCATGTGGTGTGACCAGCTGTCTCCAGCTCCTGCAGTGATGGACTATCTCCTGGAATTGTGAGCAAAATAAACCTTTTTCCCCCAAAGTTTCCTCCTTCCTTCCTTCCTTCCTTCCTTCCTTCCTTCCTTCCTTCCTTTCTTCCTTCTTTTTTTCTCTTTAAATCAAGATATGCTATCACATTAACAGAAATAAAACTGGGATACAGCAGGACTTTGTACGAGGCTTTTAACCCCTCACTTTATTAACTGGTAGAAGGAAAATGGTGATAATTGCCTTGCCCGTCCCACAGTGCTGTTGTGTAGACCAAGAAAGAGCTTAGAGTCTAACGGTGTAGCATCTCCAAATGCTGACTGACTTTCCAAGGGACATCATGGAGGTTGTGATGTTGTGTCATGGGGAAGTGGGGGTGACTTCGGAGTTAGCGGATCCAGGTTTTCCCTAAATCTGACACTAAGCAGTGAGGTCATCCCATCAGCTCAGCCTGTGGCCTTGGCACTAACTAATGACGTCATTCCATCAGCTCAGCCTGTGGCCTTTGAGTCATTTACCCATTCAGTGAAGAACTCAGATTGCAGAACCTTCCAGAAACTGCCCAGCCCTGTGGTTCTGTCATTTTCATGGACTGTGTTGTTTCTTCATCCCAATAAAGCATACATATGCAAGACAAGGGCATGGGGGTCTGTGTGGTTCTGTGCTTAGGGTGGGAATACGCACAGAGAAACTGAGTTCCTCTGTTTCCTGGGTGGGAAAGTTGCTGGCAGATAGGTCTACCAAATTCATTCTCTGGGGAGCAATGCTTTGGTCTGTTGTACTTTTGTGGCTGCTTCTACCAAGTCTACAGCTACAGTCAGCAAACTAAAACAGTGTTTCTAATCTAGCTGGAACTTGTATTTAGTGTGTGTATGTGCGTGCATATGTGTGTGCATGTTGTATCCATGCACACATGTGCATGTGTATGCGAAGGTCAGGTGACAAATTTTAGGAGTCAGTTTTCTCATTCTATCATAGGGGACCCAAGATCAAACTCTGCTTGACAGACTTGGTAGCAAGCACCTTTACCCTCTGAGCCATCTTGCCAGCTCTGTCTATAACCCTTATGTTGTACTATTTTCTCTCATTTGCTCTGAGTCTTATTTGGCATATCTTCTTTTGTTTAAATCTCAGAAATGTTCTTCTCAGGAAGCTCAGATATAAGAATCAGAAACAAACAAACTACATCTCCAAGGCTTGGCGGGAGCTGGTTGAGCTGGTTTCTGGGATTTGGGCGTCCACGGGTCTTGTCCCTCATACTGACCTCCCTACCCTTGGGATCGATTGAATGACCAAAGGCCACAGGGCTCAGGGGTTCGCTCTCTTCCTTCACAGTCATGCCCATCCCTTTCATGAGAGTGGGGTGCCCACTTCTGAAGAATGCAGGCAG